TGCCTATAGTCAAGCATGGTGGTGGGAGTGTCATGTTCTGGGACTGCATGAGTGCTGCCGGCACTGGGGAGCTACATTGAGGGAACCATGAATGCCAACATGTACTGTGACATACTGAATCCCCTCCCTTTGGAGACTGGGCCGCAGGGCAGTATTCCAACTTGATAACGACCCCAAGCAAACCTCCAAGACGACCACTTCCTTGCTAAAGAAGCTGAGGGTAAAGGTGATGGACTGGCCACCAGACCTAAACCCTATTGAGCATCTGTGGGGCATCCTCAAACGGAAGGTGGAGGAGCGTAAGGTCTCTAACATCCACCAGCTCTGTGCTGTCGTCATGGAGGAGTGGAAGACGACTCCAGTGGCAACCTGTGATAATCACGCGGCTCCTCGTGATCCGAACCACCTCTCGCACAAAATGCTCCCTGAGCTACTTTTTTTCGCGCGGATCTGCACGTTTTCTATATAGATTTCAATAGAAATGTGCTGATCAGCACGTTTTGAGCGTTTTTAATTGTTTTTTAGCGCTGAAATGCTCTTTCAAAAATCATGCGGAAGCCACTGTGAAATGCTTCTGCCCTGGTGAAAAAGGGGCCTGAATGAGGCCTAATACTTTACTTTAATACTGCCACACCAATGAAGGCTGCAGAAAGGGATTATAATTTAGAAGCCCACTTTCCCCAGGTTCACTGGCGTGGCAGTAATGTTTTATGCTATAATTAAACTCCCACACCAAAGAAGGATCACACAGAGCAATATCCCTATATATAGTATGTTGTGGCAGTGTAAATATAACTTAACCCTTTTGCTGCTAAGTCCTCCGGATCATTTTGCACCTCAGCTGGCCACACCATTTTTGCAATTTTTCCCATTGTTTTGATTTTCAACTGCTGCGTTGCTAGCATTTGTAAAAGACCTCCCAAACCATATATTTTCTGAAAGCACAGGCCCGGTAGAATAAAAAGATGGTGCTACTAAATTTGTAGGCACTGTGATAATTGCGAAATGATTCTCAAATTAATATTAAACCGATAAAAATACACAAAAATCAGTATCAGTGCACAAAAAATATTTTCTTACTAAATCTAAAAGATAAAACTGTATTGAGTTAATAAATAACAAATATTTGCAATTTGAAATTGCGCCTTTTGCAAAAAGGTTAAAAAAAATGAAGGAACGCAAAACTGTAAATAAGCGACTTATGTTAAAAATCGTTTTTGCGCTGTGTTGGTGTTTGTGTTGTGATAAAATGAAACAGGTGTATATTTAATTGCAATACAAGATATCACAATGCACAACAATGTGTCACAAAGCTTTGCAATGCGCTACCACAGTTAAATTAATGTTTTTTTACAAAAGAAAAAAATCATGCACTGCGATCCATTCTAACAACGCACTGCAGCGCATGTGCATGGCGTACACCACAATATGGTGCACGTGTATGTTGTGTGTGTTAATTTGTATGCAAATTACTTCACGTACATATCTAATATTACTGTACCCCAAAAATCCGTGCAAGCTTTCATGGTAATCTGTGCTTTAGAGAGTAGAAGTTACAGACATGGCTGTGAAAAACAGATGTAATGCAAGTGCAACCTGAACATGTAGATAAAATGTGAAATACTGACTGGAATGATAATTTAGAATTCATGTTACATACTTTTTCTTGCAGCAATGCTCCCCCAAAATCATATCCTGTCAACTAGTGCAGGCAGCATTTTACAAACACCATATTATATACAGTACAATAATTGATTTTAGCTACACATTCCCTACAGATATTTAAGCATAAGCTCATTTTCTATACATTCCTCTAAATATATTCACCTCTTTGGAAGATTTGTCATTTTGTCATAGAATTTTGTATCATAGTGGATTAAATGTTGTCAGTGTCATGTTAACGTGAAAAATGTGAGTTAAATTGGTTACAAAGAAACACACAAAACAACTGATTACAAAAGTATACACCCAAATTGATATGTCACACCTAAATCAGACAGTTCTTTTCCAAAGTCATATATTTAGTTAAAATGACATCAACTATGTGAGGTCAAGGAGGTTGAAGCAGAAGTAAACTTACCTCCCCCTTCTCTCTGGTCAGCGCTGACATCTTTGGTCTTTTTCCAAGCTCTGGATTTGTTCTTTTTCCAAGCTTGAGTCATTTTCCAAGCTCTGGATCTTTAGCCAGCTTGATTGGGGCTGCCCAGAGTGAAGCAACTCCTGTGCATGCACATGGGAAATCCATTAATTCCATCTCCAAGGTAAGAGGAGAACATACACTGAGCTGCTCAGGTGATTTCATGAGATCAGCTCAACTTGATCTATGCCTTTTTTTTTTGCCAGCTTCTGGCAGTCTCTCTATGGGCCCTTCCAGATCATCTGCATCTTCTGTCCCACGAGCTGGTTTACCATCCTGCTTATTGGTTGCTGGCCTTGACATCTTGTCTGGTGAAACACAGGTCCTTAAGAACAGGGGTCAATCAAATGTAGTGTTCCTTGTACTATTGAAATTGAGACAAGGATATGCCATATCAGGGTGTTTTCCTTGTACTATTTAAATCAAGACAAGGATATGCCATATCAGGGTGTTTTCCGTGTATCTGTTCCTGTCTTTTCTCCTGTCTGGTCTGATTCAACCTTTGGCAGTAGGTCTATTCTCAGCCTTAGCGGTTCTTTTTCAGAAACTGGGTGAGACACTATTACTGAATTAATTGATTTTTTGATTTTTGGAATCTACCTCATAGGAATTGTATGCACTTTTTGCACTTTTGAGATTTAGATATCACTGTGATTATTATATGTGAGGCACTATTGCTCAATATTAGCAGGCAATTAAGGTATTTATATATTGATGCACAATTTTGAGATTATTTATTCATCACTGTGATTATTAGCATAAATTAAGGTATTTATATATTGATGCACATTTTCATATTTTTTTATATAATTTTTATTTATTTATATGTCAATTATGTTACACTGAGTTGATTCACTATGTGGTTTCCCTGAGCGCTGCACATTCAATTACAAGTACATGTATACTTTTCCAGCTCCAAGACTAGGTTAGAGAAGAATTCAAAAGTTAGGAGGCAGCTGCCATTTTTAAGGAGCATACGCCCGCTCAGATCTAGAGAGCTCCTGGCCGGCCGTTTTTTTTACTACGGCTGGCCCGGAGGCAGTTAAGGTTCCCGTATGGGACAGTCTGCTTCCTTCCATTATTGCTAGGAGGATTCAACAGCCTATGATTCAATTTCCCGATCAAATGCACTTCACTAGATCTGTTAGTGTCTTTTGGGCTTTTCAGCATCAGACATCCTTTTGCCATGCTGGCACTTGGTGTTTTGTTACATTTTCCCTAAATGTTACCAGGTTGGCTGTCGCAGATCAGCTGCAAGGCTGATATGTTACATGTACTTCCACAGGCTTGCAGTTGTTCTAACCTCTCTGCTGCTATGGTTCAGCTGGTACCTGTGGCTCTTGAAGCATGTGCTCTGCTCTTTGCTACATGGTTAATATATCTTGCCTCTTGCCCACTTCCTGCCCATCCTCCTTATCTCTCTCCTTATTTAAACCTGCTGAGACCAGCTCCCTTTGTCTGAGCAACATTCCTGATGCCTCACAGCTACCACCTGTGCCTTTGCTCCTGACACGCTTTTCCTTTGGACTGACCTTTTCTGTACCAACTTGGCTTTCTTATTCTGGTTTAATTTGTCTGCCACCAGCCCTGACTTTAGGCCTGTCTGGTGGATCTCTTTCTGCTCCGTTGCCCTATTAATTATATATAT